CCCCCCCCCCATTTATGGAAATTTTCTTCTAAAACTGTTCCAGACTGGTGTTTCAGGTCATCATCTATTTCAATAAAAAAAATTCACCAATTATATGTAGTGGATTCATCAGAAGAATAAATAAACCACAGGGTAATTGTCTTGCAATCTGTTCGTAAATATGAATTTGTCAAGACACCTTTATTTTTATAGCTCCTTATACAATATGCAATTGTGTCAAAGCAGCTTTACAATCAGGCAAATAGTCTATTCAATTTGCACAGATAGTGTTAAGTTCATAACACTGAAACAAGTTCAATTATATGTTAAGCAGTTCTACGAAAACAACCATGTTGTTTTCCAGGTCGAGTCATTGCAATGTTGATTCAGATCAGTTCAGTTCAGAGTCGATGTTGAAGTAAATGATTCAACTGTAAGGCGGCTCTATCAGCACCAACTAAAGCCCTATTCGGATGGGATTAGTTTTACAGGGGTACAGTAGATGGAGTAATGTCATTTTACAACAGGACATCTGTAATATTAATGGCCAATTCGCACGGGATTAGAAATGTCAGTAAAACTATCAAAGGTGGGAGGGGTAACTTGATTTATGCACTGCCGTCATGTATATAATATAATTTAGGTCCAGTCGAACGATTTATTAATTCAATTAATTATATTCTGATGACTGGATTCTGTTGGTAATAGGCACTTACCTAATGCAAACAGAAGTTTCATGCCTCTGACAAGTGCTTTCGACCTTCTTTCTGATGGTCTGCGTCATCGTATGTGGAAAACACTTGAGGTTTGCCACTGACTTGTCCCACCGCTTAGAACGCAACTGAATGCTTCTTCAAGCACCTCCATATTTGAAAAACCGTGGAAAATGACAGGACATGATGGAATATTTACGAATATGTTTACAGCTGGTCAATTCACATGGGATTAGTATCACTTGAGGTAATTTTTCCGGACCTTTTTACAGAAGGTAAAAGTCAGCATAATCTTTACTGACATTGTTCATAATGATTACTGAGATGGCACATTCGGATGGGACTAAAACCACTGAGAAGCTCTGGTAATAGTTACTTTACTCCACCATATATGTAAAACTAATCCCGTCCGAATAGGGCTTAAGCCAGGGGTCTCAAACTCAAATTGGCTGGGGGCCTTTCTGTGATTGACACCTCATAGGAGGGCCATTTTAACATTCAAGCACAACAAGAAAGCAGAACATTTCTGAAAATTTACTTAACATTATTTCGAATTTACTTCAAATTCCATTGCTAAAATATTTTTGTCAAACTTAAAAAATGTAAACAGCAGTGTCTCTATCGTTGTTATAACAGTATATATTAGTTTTTAACAGGTAGTGCAAATATTTTTCCCTTACTTTATTTTAACTTAAATAACTTAATAAAACCTTGCACTCAACTAACAACATTGCACTGAACAAATGCAAACCCTGAATACATTTGTACACTATTCTATTTCTTGCCAGACACCTGGCAGTGCTTCTGCTCACACAACTGAGCCACGTTTGCCCTGATGGAGGTCACAGTTGAAACTCTGAGTACAGCTTCAAGATGGGCATCACTAAGCCTGGACCTGTACTTGCATTTATTGAAGTTCATAGTTGAGAAAAGTTTCTCACACAGATATGTGCTTCCAAAAAGGCACATTACCCGACTGAACACTTTGGACAGCTCTGGGAAGCATGGAGGTAATTCTCTCCAAAACTGTCCAGTCTTGTCTGCTTGTCCCTGTGCCTCTCTGAATTGAGTTTTTAGCTCACTGTTGCACTGCAGGTGCTTTCGTCAGGCCTTCAGGAAATGTAGAGCTGGGTATCATCAGCGTTACTATGGAAACTAACTTTCTTAATTATATCTCAGAGAGGTAGCATGTACAGTGTGAAGAGCAGTGGTCCTAGTACTGAGCCTTGCAGAACTCCACATTGAACTTGATATGACACCTCTTCATTTACTGCTACAAAACTGATAGCGGTCAGATAAGTACGATTTGAACCATGCCAATGCAGTCCCAGTAATGCCAACGTAATTTCTGAGCCTATCCAGGAGAATGTTATGGTCAATCAAGTATCAAATGCAGCACTAAGGTCGAGTAAAACTAATAGAGAAATGCAACCACGATTGGATGATAACAACACGTCATTAGTAACTCTGATGAGTGCAGTTTCAGTGCTGTGAAATGGTCTAATCCCTGACTGGAACTCCTCACAGATACCATTTCTGTAGAGGAACGAACATAATTAAAGATACCCCTTTTCTAGTATATTTGATAGAAAGGGCAGATTTGAAATTGATCTGTAATTAATTAAGTCTCTAGGATCAAGTTGTGTTTTTTTAATAAGAGGCTTAATAATTTATGTAATACTCTAAAATAATATGAGCATTCATGTGTTGACATGAACTTGAGTTGTCATTAATCAAAATTTGATTCTGATGAGTTTTGATTATTTCAGCATTCAGAGGTCAAATACTTCTGAATAAGGACTGTATAACTGACACACTGCTGTTACTAATTATTATATCATTCTTTCGCTTCATACTAACACAGGTAAGAACAGGTATTTGGCACCACCTTGTGTCTCAAATGACAGTTACAGATCATAGAAAATGCCTTTAGGACTTTTAATAGACATAATCACAAAACAAAACATCGCTCAGAAGAACAAGTACCTGTTATTCATCCACCACAACTTGTATTTGATCTAATCCTAAACTTGTATTGTCCCTTTTTTATCAAAATAAAACAAAAAAACCTTAAGAAAAACAATATCCCCAGGGTATCAATATTAGCATATTGGTATAATACGGACTTATATTTCCTTATGTAAACACAGATGACAGTCGGTGTATTTGCCACAATCAGGTGTCTGGTTATTTTATGTAACACACAAATATACAGTATATATGTGACATATTTCATCTTATGTGGTCACAATACTGACTTTTGATATAATAAAATGACTACTCCTTTACATGAATACATATCATTCCAAACTACATCCTTGTACAGCAGTGTAATTGATAATAATTCTACATACGCATCAGCAGATAATGGGACTTCCCTTATAAACACGTAATCATTATATAGTTTGATTAATACGATGCCTATTAAATATGTCTTACTACATGCATGAAAATAAATTATATCAATATTCATACTGAAAATTGTCTTCAAAGCAAATACAGTACGCAGACCAGTCCTTCTTAATCCTGGCAACAGCACAACATTTATATATGTTTGTGACGCACCGGTTTCAAATCACCAGCTGTTGAGCAGAGAGAGTTACAAATACATTCACAGTCATTTACTGGAAGCCTTCGAGCCTGGTTAAATTCTGCTTATATAGCATGTATCACCCTAAATGACGATATTCTGCTCTGTGTCAATTTACTGATTCAGTCAATCCCTGTGGAAAACAAAATGCAGAAAAGCTGGATGAACAATGAGGAAACAAATAACAAATACAATGTTTGTTTGTTCATTTTGGGAAAACTCTCTGAACTCTAAATCTGTCTGAATGACACAAATGATAGAATAAAACACAAATACCTCTTACTTTTTACAGGCTTTGGTAAAAATATATAGGCTTTTATCACTAGCAGTTGTAATAAAGATTCATTATTCATGCAGCAAAAAGTCACTTGATACTCACCGCTTTTTGTACAAGAGTAGATAGGCAGAGCTGCGAATAAAGACGCACTTTATAATGCATTCAAGTAACAATGTACAAAATCACACTCACAAATACAGTAGTTTGTATAGCAATGTCTGGTACCTGTGTGAATAGAATGAATCAGAAGATGAAGAAGAAAACAACTCTTTAATCCTCCGCAATACATCGGTCCTTTCTGAACACATCTTGTCAGGAATCTTTGAAAAAAAGTTTTGAAGAAACATAAAATGTGAGACACAATATGACATATTACGCATACTTATATTTTCACTAGTGCATGTACAGTCAAATGTACACGTATATGACTACTGTTCATTATTTAATTACACTGAGGAATCTGCAAACTTTAAGCCTGAACAATTGAAGTTCTAGCAAATCTTTCAAGACATGAAGACATATCTATTAATCCATTTCAAACCATGTTTGTCACAATATTTGCATGTCTATATATAAGTGGAAAAATGTGCTGTTGCTGCCAGATCTTGATTACCGCAATCACATTGTATTTGATTCAAAACTAACCTGAACAGTATATTTTCATGCTTTTTTTAAGCAAAGCAAATTTTTAAGTCCACTAAAAAATCTTTTCTTCATACAAGTATGTAGAAGGTACTCATTATTGTCACAGTTATGAACCTTTGTGTTTTCATTTAGTTCCTGTTCTCCAGCCCTCATTCTGTTCATGTTCTCATTAGTTTCCTTAGTTGTTAATCATCTGCACCTGTCCTGAGCTCATTAGCCTTCATTTGGTTTGTTCCATTGTCGGCTATTGTTTGTGTTACCCCTGTATTTGATATGTTCTTCTTCTTTGGATTACTATTAAAAAATATTGTTGTTTGGGGTATTAGACAACTCTTCCTAAAGCTGTTTGAATACCAGACAAAACTGATATTTTCTGACAGGATCTGGGGCTGGATCTGATTTTTCTGACACGGAGGCTTGATTTGACCTAACATTATATACAATATATGTGTAAGCATGTGGGAAGACGTTGGGGAAAGTTACTTTTAAAAGCAATGCATTACAATATTGCGTTACTCCCTAAAAAAGTGACTAATTGCATACTTAAGTTACTTGTTATGGAAGTTAAGTTACTTTTTTTTTCATCTGGGCTGGGCTTGCTTGTTTATTTTTAATAAAAAAGTATTTTTGGCAAATGTAAAAGCCCTGCCATTCTGTATTGCATAAAGAATAGGGCAGAAGAGAAGTAAGTTCAACACTCTTTGAGCAATAAAAAAAAGAAAGAAACTAAAGTCATGTTTGCTTATTAGTATGGATGAACTGAATCATCGAAAGTCAGCAGCAAGACATTGGTTAATAAAATAGGACTACATGGATATTTAACAAATAAATGTATATGTAGACCTGTATGTACGTACCTGAAATACATGGCTGTCATCACATCGATACCAGTTCTGATTGTCAGATCTGATGTTAGTATTATAGTGTCCATCTTTCAATGTTCCATAAAGGTTTATTATGGCATAAAGCTCATATTTTTGGAAGTAAACCTGTCAGGAATAGGAGGGACATGTTCATCATGTCGATTATACATCATCAAATGGATGTGATAGTCATAGAGAGAGTGTGCTTGTCTATATGCAAAACATCAAAAGTATTCTGGACATGCAAACGTATGGGTCAACCAATATATTGATAAAGCCATTTTTTCATCATCCTGCTTAAATATACATTTTTTCCAATAATGTCCTGTTCAGTCAATTGTTTTGTTGGCACTGAGAAGCCTTGTGGATCACAGATGGATACATTCTAATTATAAAAAGGAAAACACTAAGATTTGACTTGAATGCATACCATCAATTTTCTGCAAATATACAGGCACTGGTCATTAAAAAGGTCATTTTAAATCCCATACTGGTCGAACACTACTTATGTTACAGACACTGTATTAATTACCTCCGTTTGTGCAGGAATTCTTACTTGACCGTTGTTGTCATGTCGGAAGGTCCTCAATTGTAGAATGAGTATTTGTGGAAAGTCAATATGACTTTTCTGAGGGAAAAACAAATGCATAATTTGTCCACACTATATTTACATAATTTAAAATGTAAATAGAATAGCATGAGTGTGTTGCCTTTAATTACAAGATATGTGTGAAGAAATAATAATATTAAATAATCAAAGGCTATTCTAAACTCACTGATTTAAGTCAACAATGACGGATGTGCAGAAATTGAAGGGGATGCATTTGTATGAAGTACATATTCCAGTTGTAAAGTTAACAAGCCTAAGTTATCTACAGTTCCACAGTAAATCTTAGCTGAACTGAACAGGCATAAACATATCAGACTTGAAAAGATACTTGCGGTTGCCACTGTTGATTTATTTGAACACTGACTACAGCTCAAAGAAGTTTGATGCATTTGATCAACGTGTTCCTTCAAAGCAAAGCCCTAAATGACCAAAAGAATGGCAAATACAAATATATGTCAGTTAACAAACAAGCTGAGAAAGAGTCTAAAAGGCTTGGTCTAAAGATGATCTGAGTCCATTTAAAAAAATCAGTTCCCATAGACTTCCATTATACCAGAGGAATATTAAAGGGTTAGTTCACCCAAAAATGAAAATTACCCTGTGTTTTACTCACCCTCAAAGCATCCTAGGTGTATGTGACTTTCTTCTTTCAGACGAATCCAATCGGAGTTATATTAAAAATTGTCCTGGTCCCTCCAAGCCTTTCAATGGGGGTAAGCGGGTGTTGGTTGTCAACAGTTCAGAAGACGTGGAATAAAGTGCGAGCATCCGTAACAAAACGTCCCTCACACGGCTCCGGGGGGTGAATAAAGGCCTCCTGTAGCGAATCCATGCATTTTTGTAAGATAAATATCCATATTTCAAACGTAATAAAACACTTTTCTATCACTTCTTCCATCTGTCGTACACGGAAGCCATTCCGGCAGATGACGTAAGATGTAGGCGTTGCGTGATTAGTGACGAGTGCGGAGAGAGAACAAAACAAAATGCCGGTCATGAATTAGAAGCACAAAACGAGAATTTTGTAAAGAAAAATTTTGGAGGATTTCAATATAAGCCAAGAGGAGACTGGTTTTCCTTTGCTAAAGTAAGGAAACTTTGTTTCCTTTGCTCCTGCATTTCTCAGAGGCGTGCGCACGATGCCTACTTCCTACGTCATCCGCCTGCACGACTTCCGCATACCACAGTCAGCGGAAGTGAGAAAAAAGTGTTTATTACGTTTGAAATATGGATATTTATCTTACAAAAATGCATGGATTTGCTACAGGAGGCCTTTATTCACCCCCCGGAGCCGTGTGAGGGACGTTTTATTACGGATGCACGCACTTTATTTCACGTCTTCTGAACTGTTGACAACCAACACCCGCTTACCCCCATTGAAAGGCTTGGAGGGACCAGGACAATTTTTAATATAACTCCGATTGGATTCGTCTGAAAGAAGAAAGTCACATACACCTAGGATGCTTTGAGGGTGAGCAAAACACAGGCTAGTTTTCATTTTTGGGTAAACTAACCCTTTAAGAAACTAATTCAGAATTATTCAGAGCTGAACAGCAATGCACTTACCACATTTCTTGATTCACATAGAGAGATGCTCATTGTGAAGAAATCTCGCCGTTCTGATATTATTTGCTTGCATGAATCACATCTACTGGTTTTCTCCACAGTGCCCTTAAAAATCTACAGTGTCAAGACAAGACTTTATTAATGATCTTTGGAAACGGATTATTTAATTGCCAAGTAAATTGGTTTTACAGCCATATTAAATAACACCAAAACGTGACCATTATATGCATCTTACTGTTCTTCATATTAGACCGTTGCTTTGCATTTAAACCCCTTAACTGTCACCGTTTTCATCATTCAAAAGCTTAAAAAACCTGCGAAACCGTTTTGAAATCAGACATTGCATTACCATGGAAACAGTACTTTAAATCAGAATAAGCTAGCTCCTCCCCCTAGTGTATGCTGTCAAGTTTCATATTACAAAAAAGTTACTATTTTACAATCAAATCTTTTTTTTTTTATCTTGACAAAACGCATATCGTTGGAAAGTTCTGACAGTCAAGGTTCCATATTTGGTGACTGTTTTGTGATAGAAGTGATATTGTGACAGAAATTGATTTGTGATAGAAAACTGCATCAATTTGTTACCCGGTGGTCATTTTTGGTACAGCACCCAAAACAAAATCTCAATTTTTGTAACAACTTCAAATTTGGAACATGACTCGGTTAGACGTATGGCTTTGATTTTATAGCAATTTTAGAGTGCAAAATATTTTATAAAATGAAAATAAAATAAATAAATTTAGTAGAGTACATTTTCTTTACTGTAAACTTTTATACTTTTTTAAATGATTTCACTTCAGCAATAATCTGCTGAGAGTCTTCTTTAAAAAGAGATCAACCAGAGGTCTGTATTCCAAAGCACTCAGGAATTACAACCATTCAGGTGCATTTGATTTACCTTAGAAGATTTGGGAGTCCTGATCAGAATCAATTCTAGATATTTTGCTGCATCTTCTTCTTTATAAACTGATTTTTTATGGGAAAGAAGCATATAAACAACGACATATAACAGCAAAACAGTATTTTTTTTTGTCTGCTGGATCATACAAAAAACATTTTTCAGAGACCAACCATCTGTGATGCCGAGGCTCTTTGAGATTGCGGCTGTTGAAACTGGATGAGACTCTTTGTCTAATTTATCAAACAGAGACTTCAGCTCTTCGGTGAAATCACCATCAGGCGAATCATCTCTTCTCTCCAGCCTAAACACGTCAAATGATTATTATGCTAAAGATTATTTGACAAACAAACAGAAGCAGCGGGAGTGATTTCTTTACCTCACAATGCCTTCTCTGTATTCCTGGGTCATGTAGAGTGCTTGCAGAACTGCGTTCAAGTAGCTGGTTGCTCCCTGATTCATCAAGCCACAGTATGCTTAAATGAGAAACGTATTATTAGTACAGTATACATCTCTAAAATCTATGATTTTAGATATTTACCATCTAAAGCCACAGTAACATGAACTATTAAAGTAAGTATAATCATAACTCTGTCATACACAATTTACTGAAGAATCTTACAAATGCTTGTAAAAAAAAAAAAAAAGACCTAATAAGACCATTAGAACAGTGTTTCTCAACCCTGGTCCTGGGCGCCCCCCAGCACTGCACATTTTGTGTGTCTCACTAATCAAACACACCTGATTCAACTCATTAGCTGATTAAAGGATTTATCTTGAACTCTGTCACGGAAATTATGTATAAACCCTAATCAAACAATTTAATAATCAATTTACAATGAATTTATACCCGTGTTGTACATTATGCTGTACGCCATGGATGAGCGCTTTGTAAAAATGAACGGATTGATTATTCAGCTGCGGGCGTCATCTTCTGGCGAGATGCGGGAATTCATTCGGCGCGTGACTCTCACGGTGCATTATGGGCATTCTCTAGCCGTTGAGCGTGCACCAGTTGTACACTCGTTTTTGCAGTGCATTGTGGGATTGAATGAGTGCACTCGAGAACGTCCACTATGGTTTCGGACACCACTAAAAATGGCTGTTCCCTCAAATAGTGCCCTATTTAAGGGTATAGGGGGCGATTTCGGACACAGCCCAGGACCTGAAATGGGTGTCAGATAAGGGAGACATACAAAATGTGCAGTGTTGGGGGGTGCTCAGGACCAGGGTTGAGAAACACTGCATTAGAAGATCATTCCAATATATATTACGCATTATAAATAACCCATTTAATTTAGTAAGAACGAAACAAACAATTGTGTAGATAACTGAAAAAGTGATAAAACAACTGAAAAAAAAATGACTCACCCATAACTGATCGGTTTCTTCTCTGAAAGAAAAATGTGATACTAATTAACAACATGCTGCAAATGATAACAAAGATGAGAAGTAATCTACTTATTCTCATAAAGCGGCATATTTATGTTTGATTGATTGAAAAAAATGAGCATCATTTTCTTCAGTTGATATTTGATCAATGATGATCATACCTCTGTGGTAACTTCAATGACGTCACTGTCTGTGGTGTAGTTGAGTTTCCCCAGCGCTGCACATTTGATCTCGTATTCAGTTCCTGATCTCAGATCAGTCAGAGTAACTACGTCTTGATCCTTCATCACAGGTTCAGATGTCCAGACTGAGTCCTGCTTCGGTTTATACAGTAACTTGATCTCCACTGTATCAGGACACGATGGAGGAACCTTTACAACTACGGTGTTTTCTTTGACCTCTTCGATGACTGGACAGGCTGGCGGAGATGGAGGAATAAAGCAAACAGCTTCATCACATTCCCTTTCATACAGCAGAATGCAGGAACCTGGATTATTCTTCATTTCTCTTGAGGACACGATAAACATGTTTGATGTACTGTCATTCAAATCGATCAAGTTCTTAAACATCTTCAGGTTGCTCCTCATGGTCTTTTGGATCTCAGGACTAAGCCAAGACTTTTGCTTTCGATCAGGGCTGCTCTCATCATTTCCTCCTTTTGCTGAAGGACTCAAACAGGCCTTTTGTTGAAGAAGCAGCATGTCTGACCAGTTCAATGATGTGAACATGAAACAGACCAGATTTCCAACTTCCAGATCCATCAAAATCAGGTCTATGTTGACTTCTACTTGCGCACCAGCATTTTTCAGCTGTCTGAGGACTGATTTAATGATCTCAGACTCTCTTTCTCTCTCTTTCAGCCATTCTGCAAGCTCAGATCTTCTGAAGGGAGATTCCTCATGTTCTTGTAGAAGTTCATTCAGTGCTGTTTCCTTCATCACGTCTCCACGGATGTTTGGCAGCAGAGAGCCGAGTTTCTCCACCAGTCTCAGCTTCTACTCACAGCA